ATTTCAGAGTGTAGACAAGTTTTGTGTTCCTACTAGGTGTGGTAGTCATCCCATGGAAGTCTTCGAAACAGTTCTTAGTGGTTACATCCACCAACCATTCTCTCAAAGTTAATGTTGCTTGTGTTGCCCGGATACAAACATGTTACATAATAAGAAATGTCACTATATTGCACATCTTGCAAGTCAAATCATGGGACAACCTTGCTGATTTGTTCATGAAGTCTTCACTAATTCAGAAACATGTTCCTGAATTACTCATGTTCAACGCATCATATTATAGTCTTTCTTCCTTTATGAGTTTATTTTTACAGGTTCTCATCCAGGTTTTTAACAAGGTAATATCAACACAAAATCATATGTCATACTTTCTATTTTCCCCACTAGGGTTTTCAGGAAAGTATATACAACATATGTATTGTCCTTTAAATTCTATGGGTTTCTCATATTGAGTTGAAAGGGGCAACAACCATTACATGTTGCACCATTTTCTCCTTATTTTTTCCACTTGGCTTGAAGGAGTTTTGGCAACATATCAAACAATACACTCCTCATATTTTTCCCATAGTGTTTTTGGAGGAGTCTCTAATCAAGATTATGATTCTGCATGGACAAGTGTGTGAATCAAGGGAGCGTTAGCAATTAATTAAGCACATGTTTAATAATTATATAAATCCAATAGTAACCGTGATGCGGTTATCTCACCTGGAGAGATGCATCCCTGTTTCTCTCTATTGCAACATACGTCATCCTTCACTAGCGTCTCCCCTGTAAAGACGCCTCTTCACTGGCGTCCCTTTGTACCAGTATATGTATCATCATTGTTATTAATAGAGAACCCCTGTTTTGAGATTACTGTTCATTATTGATTCTCTCTCTCTCTCTCGATCTCAATCTTCACCTTCCAACGTGGGTGGAGCCACTGGCAAAAGGAAAAACGTGGGTGGAGCCACTCGCAAAAAGAAAAAAACGGGGGTGAAACCCAGCATCTCATTTATCGTGTTGAGCGCGCAGGATCAGTCTGTCGGCTTGTATAATGATGGTACTAGTCATACTTTTGAGATAGCTCTCTGAGACCACGGAGCGCTAAGAAGCCATGCATTGTCTTGCCGCCACGCCAAGCAGCCCCTCTTCAAACGTGCAACACTTTTCCGGCTGCTTCACCCTTCCAGCAGTGAGGGGCCTCGAGCTGCTCTCACCAAACGAGGCGCACTGCAGTACCAACATGCCTGCGCGTCCGGGCCAGTACCGGATCGCCGGCCGAGGGGATCCTCCCAGTAGGGCTGCGGGCCGAGTCTCTGCCATGCCATGTGGCGGTGGCCATTGACGGGAACTCGCGTTGGGCGCACGCACGGGGCATGCCGACGTCGGCCGGGCACGCCGCTTTGCAGCCCGCGCTGGAGGAGACGGTGCGGCTCTCATGCGACTGGGGAATCCGCGTGCTCACTATCTTCGCCTTCTCCCATCGGAACTGGAACCGTCCCAAGGTAATATATATACTGCTGATCCTTAATTGATCTCTTCTGCATAAGCATAACCATTGTTTAAAATGTTTGGGAATTCGCAGAAGGAGGTTGACTTTGCTATGGGCGTGTTCAATCGGTTCATCCAGGACATGTCGCCCAGTTTGTAAGGTAGTAGTACATTTTTGTTTTTCGTTTTTTGTTTTTGAGATACCACATGCCTCTCATTTTCCCCCAAAAAAGATGCAGATCCATCATCAAAGTTTATTGTAACTACAAAGCGTTTCAAATATATTAAAACTTAGATCGAGATTCCGAGACCACCTAACTACCACTACCACCGCCATAACAAGTTGCCGAGACCACCTAACTACCACTGTCACCACTCACACAGTCATGTTACTATCAGATACATATCATTTGAAAAGTAACAAGTGAAAGAAAAAGAGCACTTCCTGCGAAGGAAAAAAAAAGCACAAAGCTCGGTGCAACCAGGCACTAACAAGATAATATGACTTCATCACATACCCTTATTGGAAATGTTTGGATCGCCATCCAATCCGGTTGAAGAAACTCCGTCTAACCATCTTCTCTCGGGTTGATTGT